GCAGCGGCGCGAGCAGGGAATCCCCAGCCATCGCCTCGCGCCGTCCAGCTGCTGTGGCTGCTCTCGAGGCTGCCTTGCGAATCGGCTCCCGCTCCTCCTCCTCTTGCTGCTGCTGCTGCTACTCCGTGGCGGAGCTGCTCCTCCTGGTAGGGGTAGCTCCAAGTCACCCCTCGCAACTTTGCATCTCAAAAGACACTTTACAAAAAAAAGAAGATCCGTTGAATTAAATCTCTACGTCTACCACTTTCTTGTTTTTATCGCCGTTGTTTTTTCTTACGACCCTTCGACCAAGCACCGGCTCTTGACACGTTAATGAGGTGGGTGGCGTTCCCCTTTTTTTTTCCTTCCTTTTTTTTTCCTTTTTCTCCTTTTTCTCTTTTTTTCGAGGATGCCTGGATCTAAATTGTAAGCGCGCGCCCGATCGCATGGAGCCCTGCCTTGATCTATGGATGCCACAAGGGCGCCCGTCCCAGCTCGTCGGTTGTTTTGACTCTCCTCCTCTGACATTTTTGCAGGCAGCCGCCCCCCGGCGAATTTGACATGGCACTCAGCGGTACCCTCCTCCCTTCCATCTCCACCTTCGCGGCGGGCACGGCCGGCAGGGAGAAGATCTTGAGGCAAGCAGGTGCCAGCAATGTGAGTATCCCTGTGTGGGGAAGAGAGGATCGGGCAGGGTTTGCGGTTGTACGCCCGCGATCGACAGGACTTTTGGGCTCCTCCTTCATGTACTCGGGCCTCGGTCGCAGCGCAGGCGGGCACAGAATAAAGCCCCTGGGCAGGTGGACAGAGAAACTTTACGGACAGAGGTAAAGGAATGCGAGGGTCCAGTTTCCAAACTGAACCTGCTCCCAAGATGGCTTTGGAAATAAATGGGGAGAGGAGGACTGAACACATGTCGACAGTCAAGGGTGTGGATTAGTAATGAGTGATGATTGTCAGAAGATGGAGGTAGGGCACGCAGTCAAGGTGAAAGATGGACTCGTACAGCCCTATGAAACGCGAAAGTGAGCAGGTCTGAGCAGAGTTTGGAAAAAAAAACAGTCTTTTTGATGTTCAGCTCTATGGGTTATAAAACATTCCTAGGAGCTATTTAAAAGCACTGGTCTACCACTTTAGATTTATATGTCCAGGTGCATCTGAACCTAGAGTGATTTTGTAGTAGGATTGCAACTTCTGAGATATAATCCCCAGACTAAAAGAAAATCAACATCTCTCTCTTACTGCTTTCTTCCTCTCTCTTACACACATACCCCTACCTTTTCATTGTTATTCTTTGGACCTTCAGATTGGGTGAATCACACAAGCAAATGAAGTAGAACTTCTCTACCTCCTCCAAGGGCGTAGCCATTACCAGCCATCTCATGTGGTATTGAGAGGGGGGGGGAGAAACAGGGACGGAAGGATATCTCAGAAATGAATACACAGTAAATAAGAAGCTGAATTATGCAGCATATCGCAAACCAAAATCATGGGTGTGGGTGCTTATCTTTAATACATAGGCAGCCTTTGGAAATATACACACCTACACATGTGCCTTGATTTGCGTTTCATTTTCTTCTGTGAAGCCGATGGCTTGCACCTACAGCTGCTTATTGTATAATGCTTGCTGCTTTAGAGAAACATCTACTGATAGACTGCCTGCATCCAATATTAGACCTAACATATTAATGTTGTATGTGCAGTTATTTCAAAACCCATTTGTATTCCTCTTCCTCAGAGGTATGACTACTTTGAAAAGGCATGTGATGTATTTATATATATATACTGTATTTTCTATCATGCATAGTCATTGTCTCTCAGTGGTATTTAGGAAAAAAAGCTTTAAGAAATACTTAAATGTAACCTGGCTTATAAGGCTACAGCATAATAACATATCTGTAATAACTGATGTTTGTGAACTAACATCTTTCATTTTATCAGATCCTGTAATTAATCAGTAGAGAGTTTCACACAAGACCTTAAATCGTGTTTTGTTTAAATTGCATGGATTCCTCTCCCCCCCCCCAATAGTTGGAGAAGAGGCATCCTATACATACACTCTGTGAGTTGCTCCTGGTTAGAACTTCACTGCCAAAATCCTACCAATCTTTTAAACCCATAAATGAGTGCTATAACATGTCGCTCACACATACACACACACATATTGTGGAGAAGACAAATGTTCTATGCAACATGTTATGACTTGAAAATTGCTTATAATTTGCCCTAGAAGTTCATAATACCAGAAATCAAAAAGAGTGTATTTTATTGAGTTATGTGAGTACTACTAGCTAGAGGTTTACTTCAATTGGCAGAGTACTAGGAACTACAAACCCAAGAATATATCCCCAAGGTTGACTGCATTAATTAATTCTTACCTTGCTTGAATATATACTTCACATTAGTGCTTAGGTTTCATTATGCTTTTGCTGCCTCAAAACTGAAACTATAGTGCATTTTCCTAGGAAATATACATCCAGTAAAAAAGAACTTTTTCAACCAACACTGTGTTTCTTCTTCTCACAGAAGTGGAGGGAGGAGCTCTCCCATCTCAAACGGATACCCCCTGTGCTAACAGGACGGCCTTACGACCTCGCCTTTGAGCTGGAAAACACTGTTGCCGCTGCCACCACCACCACCACTAGCAGCACCATCGGGGCTATGTCAGGGCGAGAAACGGAGGAGTTGAATGAGCTTTTGGACTTTGACTTCATCCTGTCCAACTCCCTGATGCCTCAGGAACAGCCCATGGCTGCTGCTGCAGTGGTGAGCTCTACTCCTGGCTCCTCGCCCTCGGTCACCAGTAGTAACTGCCCATCTGTGAGCACCTGTGATTTCACTTATCAGCTGCAAAGGGGAGATCACACCGGAGCAGGAGGAGGGGGCATGCTTTACAACAGGGAGCAGGCATCAGCTGCCCCTTTCAACTTGTCCGATATCAATGATGTGTCCCCTTCAGGTGGATTTGTAGCAGAACTGATGAGGCCGGATCTGGACCCTGTTTATTTGCCACAGCCACCACCCTCACAGCAGCAGCCACCGCCAGCCCCAATGGGCAGCCTGCATGGGAAATTTGTGGTGAAAGCCACAGTGAACATGGGGGAGTACAATAACCACATCAGTGTTAGCAGCAAGAACAATGCCGCTGCAGTTTCCCCATGTGCAGACGGACCTGTGCCGCCTCCCGTTTATAACCACATGCCCCGCATGTGCCCCAAAATCAAGCAGGAGGCTGCCCCTTCTTGCACCATTGGCCAAGCTCATGGAAATACTCCAAGGGCCCCACCGCATGATTTCTCCATGGGGCGGCCACTGCCTAGCAGGACTAATCCTCCCTTGACTCCAGAGGAGATGATGAACAACAGAGACTGCCACCCCTCCTCACAGGCCTTAAGCCACCCGAGTCTGCCGCTTCCTCCAGGCTACCATCCTGGCCCAGGGTATCCTCCTTTCCTTCCAGACCAACTGCCACCAAGCACCCTACAGTATCAAGGTCAGTCTTACTATCTAAATGTTTTTGGAGAACCTTTAAATGTGCCTCGCTTGGTACAAGGGATGATGCTGACTCCACCCTCTTCACCTCTAGAGCTGATGCCTTCAGGGAGCTGCCTCTCTGAGGAGACCAAGCCAAAGCGGGGCCGGAGGTCATGGCCAAGGAAAAGGACCGCAACACACACATGCGACTACGCAGGCTGTGGGAAAACGTATACAAAAAGTTCACATCTCAAAGCGCACCTTCGGACCCATACAGGTAAGGCCGTTCCCACGAATACTGTCATGCTCCTAGCAGCCAAAGACCTCTTACCTCAAACCTATCTGGATAGGCCAATACAGTATTTGTTCCACAGACGGCTGAAAATGATTGTCAAGCCAGGAATGGCGTAACAGAGACAGCATTGTCCATGATACGGGCTTTTTGGTTTTATCCATAATTCTTGCAAATGTGTGCAGTGTTTCAAAAATGTGTGGGGCGCATTTGAGAAGATGTGCTAGTGGAATTAACAATACGAATTTGTGTGCCCCAGATAGCTGCACCTCTTTCATACCACTTTGAACTCTCCTGCAGTGAAACTCTACCTATTTTTACCCAGAGGTTTCTCTCTGAATTTAATTAATGGGCTTAGAAATAGAGCTTTAAAATACTCTTATCTCTAGCCAAAGAAAAAGGGGAAATGGTTTGCGTGAGAGAGAGCCATTCCTCGTAGAGGTGTGTATGTGTGCGTGCATGCGTACACACACTAACACATAACTTTTGTCCCATTTTAATTTCTGGTTAAATGGGTTTTTTAAATAAACCTGCCAAACCTGCCTACCAAAGGCAAAATTAGAACCAAGACTACACACCTTGAGCAGCCATACCCCTCTGAAACCATATTCAGTTCTATGAAAAAACAATGGCCAGAATTCAACTTGTATGTGTTCTTGTGGTATCAAGTTTAAACACAATGACTGTATTAAAACAAATAAAATAAAAAAAGATAAGAAATACCTCCATTGCAGTAGATTGTTAAATAGTAGGCCGTGGCTCTAACCAAGATAAGAGTTTAAATATCAAAATCACATTGCAATTATGGCTTTACTTGCAGATTGGAAAGGTTGGTTAAAATGTCTCTAAATGACTCAGACATAGGATAGGAATTATTTTGCAGACACATGTGCATTACTTGTCAGGCTATGGCCATGTGGCTAGTTAATTATAGGGCAGCTAGACATCCAGAGTGAATTAAGCATGTTTATTCTGATAACACCATCAGTGTCTTTGTTAGGGAGATCTGGATGTTGAAAATAGTCACAGTTCATTTATTCTGCAGTATTTTAGTTTAAGATCTTGATCTCATCTTGATTTGCTGTAAATCAATACTGTAAATGCTAGTTAATGGGGGATGATCATGGAAAGCCACTTCTAATTTGGAGCTGTTTTCACATAGGTGGGAAACAGGGCAGCCCTCCTACAAACTCTTGGACTTCATTTCTTTTCAATTCTAAAAGCAGCTGCCAGTCAGCAAGACTTGACTAATTAGCTTCAGAAAATAACCAGTTCTGGATTATCCAGCCATCTGAATTAAGTGATAAAAATAACCAATGGAGTTGCTACTTGCTGCTAAGGTTTTGTTATGAAATAAACATTTTAGTAAATCCTCATTTTGGTATGAAATAAACATTTTAGTAAATCCTCCATTTGCCCTGATGCTAACCCTGTTTACTTGGAAGAAACCAAGTCCCTTTGTTTGCAATCGGACCTAATTTTGAGTTAATATATCTGTTATAGCTGTTTTGGTATATTTCTTTCATAATACTACATGACAGCTTGAAACTTGAAGAAAGGTGTTATTAATAAAATTACCGTAAAGTATATAATTTAAATAAAGAAGTTGCCTTGTAAGTGTATTGAAGAAGTTTACTTGAAAAAGAGTTCCATTGATTTCACTCATCCATTCACCTACAAGGAGTCCACCAAAGCACTAAAAATATATTTATGACAGTGATCTTGGTACCTTGCATGGCATAAGGGGCTTAGTTAAGGCTAAAATGAAACCGCTTCGGTTTCTATAAATGGCTTAAGAAAATGAATTTACCCATAGAGGTTAACCAGTTAAAGTTCTGGTTCAAGGTAACAAAACAGTAAAAGAGATGCCAGTTAGCTGAACAATGAAAGACAGCAATCAGCTTTCAATAGTTTTCATTTTCTATGGGAAATGTGCCGATAACAATAGTTTGATTACTAATAATTGCTTGATTTGTTAATTCTGTAGCTGTGCTCAGCCTTTCCCTCTGATTGGATGCAGATCTTTTAATAGTCTCAATATTTACATGCAACATTAGTTATGAAAGTAGTCAAGGAGAATATCAAGAGAAAGCATGTATGGTGATAGATCATATTGCTTTGTAAGCTGTAAAAATGTTATTGAGCCATTATGCTTTCAGGTGAGTTCTGGGTTGGTAACAAGTGTCAGCTTTGTCTGAAGCCTTGTTGCCAATACTGAACAGCAGCTTTACAAATAAGTCCATTAATACTACCAGTCCACAGAGATTTTCCATCCTAATTATTTGTGGCCTAAAAGCCAGAGCAGGCTTTCATAAAATGTCTTTGCTTGCTTGCCCAAAGGCAATTCTTATTAGCCACAGGTGGCTAGGTAAGCGGCTGTGTAATCTGCAAGCCTAGTATACACACTTTTTTTTTCTTTTAGCCCACTGTCTCTGCTCAAACAAGTTCTACTGGTTCTTCAAAAACCTGCAAAACTAGTAAACTATTGTGGGATAGGTGTAGGTGCACCATGGGGAAATGATCTCTCTTTTTTATAGCACTTTCAGTAAAAAAAAAATTGAGGGTGTCTCAGGTGAAGGAAACCAACATGACATTTTTTCCAGGCATTTAGGCAAAAATTTGTATACATCTAAACCCTGTAGAATGTTTGGCTAAAGTAAGAGAAGTATAATCACTTGAAGAAGTTGGTTTTTTTATCATTTCTAGAGTAGGCTTTTGCTTTGTTCAAGAGTATGATGATGACTGCCTCAAGATCTACACAAAGCACTGAAGTCTGTAAAATACAGAAATAACTGATGTAGTTATTTATCTCTGAAGGTGAAAAGCCCTATCACTGTGACTGGGAAGGGTGTGGATGGAAATTTGCCCGCTCAGATGAACTCACGCGTCACTACAGAAAGCATACGGGTCACCGCCCATTCCAGTGCCAGAGGTGTGACAGAGCGTTTTCCAGATCGGATCACCTTGCCTTACATATGAAGAGACACTTTTAAACAGGACAAATTGGGCTTTTTCTTTACTGCCACGAGAGATTCAGTATTTGACAGCAAAAAAAGAGAGAAACTGTCTTCCACAAGAAGGGAGAACTCCACTTAAAGCACTACAAGAAGAAGAAAATTCCAGTGAAGTCTTCCAAAAAAGGGAGAAAGATGTGGAAATGAATGGACAATTAAAAATGATTGTGGGACTTTTTTAAAAGGGGGGGAACTAGGGGAACAATGACTGGATCTTGTATCGCCATTCCATTTTTAAAAAAAAAATCTGACTTGAATCTTTCTGGGTTACAGAATGCCAAGGATTGACTGGAAATCAAGGATATCAGGGTTAAAATAAACTGTTGAGGGAGGGGACCATGGGAAATTACGTAGGGAGACTATGGGTGAAGACAGATGTAACATTTGTAAAATAGTGGGGCTGTTTTGGAACGTCCTTCACCACATTCGGTCCAAACGGCATTTGTCCTCTCCAAGGCTGAGGTCTGAAAAGCAACGTTACACAGGTTGCAGTAGCAAAAGCCTAGCTGACTCCCTATTGCACATGATTTTCTCTCTTCCTTCCCCCAGTTCCCCCACCAATATAAAAAGTAAAGGGAAGTAGTACCTCTTAAGGAAGGGTGGGGAAACACTGCCAAAAATAGAAGCCATTGCTGCAAATTCCAAAGTCACAAGAAAGTCTGACTTGCACCATCACTGAAGCAAATCTTGAGTGCTACATCTGTCTTCACCCAAAATTCCCTTAAGATTTATTTTCAATGCAATATTGTAAACATATTGTAGGCTTGCAATTTCTTTTTCCTTCCCAAAGCCATTAGTAAACTATATCAAATGGGGGAAAAGAAATTCAGGTACAGAGTTGTGGTTGAAAGTATGTTTTCATGGTGCTGAATGACTTTTGGTTCTTAAGAAAAAAAAAAAAAAAAAAAAAAGAGGAAGCCAAAGTTCTCAAACTGCTGCATATTTGACAAGGAAATACATTTGTCTTCCGATCTACATTTAATGATGACCTAAATCAGGTTCATAAACCTGGTTTATTTGTGTTTGTGTCTCTATCTTCTAATCTTCTATGCAGACAGTCTGTAATGCACTGTGGTTTCGAATGTGCAATAATTTGTACAATGGTTTAGCCCCAAATATGCCTTAAAGCAGAACAAATTTTTTTCTATATAGTTCTTTACTTAATAAATATGTAATATAAATTTAAGGAGACTTCTATTTTGTATATTTGTAAACTATGAAGTGAAAAATGAACATGTGTCAGAGTTTGTATTTTGCATATTCATTTTGTTGAAAATAACTTTTAAATAAACTTATTTTATCTGAATGGCTTTTCCCAACTCTTCTTCCAGTACCATGTTAAAACGGCACAATCATTTACATTGGCTATAGCACTGTTAGCCCTCAAAGACCAACACTCTGTCTATGTTTTAAAAGAATTGTACTGCTTAGAGACCAGTCCTCTGCATGTTGACTTCTGTGCTAGGCCCACTGAGTTCTGTGAAGCTTAACCTTTAAAGGACATCACCACAATTGTTCAGAAATAAGTGTTATGGAACTCAGTTGCGCTTGCTTCCCTGTTATTAAATTCAAGCTAAGGCTGTAACACTGTTTAACTACTTTCTTTCTTTATTCGTGTCAGAGCATTGCACAATGAAAATTTATGGACATATATTATATGTAGGTAAAAACAGAAAATAGAATGTTAAGGTAACTAAACTATTTTTATCAGAACCAGGCTACTTCACTTGCTATTCAACTGCTGTTATCTAATCTTGGTGGGATGGAGAGGGGACATCAAATCTCTCTTTTTTAATGTTTTTTAAAAAAGGGACAATATAGTCCAATATTTTGCTTCCAACAGGAACAAGTCAGATGAGTCTCAGAGGTAGTCATGATGGTGATGTAACCTCCTATTTCATATAATTCTAAGACTGAAACTGATGAACCTTCCATAGAGTCCACACGTATCTTAAAACTCAAGTCTTTAACAGAACAAACACATAGATTTCTAATACAACTAGAATGTTTGAAGAGGCATGTTTTATAGCATATGTCTTTAAAAAGCAACAACATGCTAACCTTCTTAAATACTTAAAAGGCTGTTGCCTTTCCACCTTGTATCTACAGGTATATACACGCAGAGGCTTGATTTCATTGAGAAGTTGAGATCATATTTCCAGTTGCTGATAAAGCAAGATTCAGAAGAAACTTCATCATTTTAAGTGAACCTCAGAAATGCTGTACCACTTAACGTTTCTATTATATTTGAATATGGTTTGCTTGGCCAGGCTTCACAGAAACCCTCAATGAGTTTATTCTGATTTGAAAGTACTCTTACTTTTAATAGGGCAATTTTACTTATTTGGAAAGAGGTAATGCATTTGGAGCCTGGAGAAAAACTTGAGATTGATGTTTTTCAAAAAAGAAGGTATCAGTCACAGGGAACAAATAATATATTCATTACAACCTTATTCAAGAAGGTACTGTACTCTGATAAATTTGAATTCTGCATCCTGTATATGAGATCCAGTTTTAACTCCAAAAACTGAAAGCTGTTTATTTTTCTCCTAGTAAGGTTAGCATGAAAGATCAATGGATCCAGATTTTGTTTCTTTTAGCACAAAGGGATTAATAGCAATGAGTGAAGAAAACTTCCTTCTGGAATTGGCATCTTTAAAAGGATTGTAACTGCGTGCTACCCCACCATAACTTCTGTCTCCAGTACAAAGGGCATGGTGTTGTTGTTGCTGTGCAGCAGGATGCAGATAATATAGTTGAAAAGCAAATAAACTCAAAAAAAGGATTTCAGGGAATTAGATCAATGTTATGCTTTGAAAACAGACCACATGAATGGAAATTATGATGGAATTAGAATGAAAAGCAGGATCATAAAAAAAAACTCTTACCGAAGTTTTAAAATTATTCAATGAGCATTGTAAACATAGCTGGTAGGATGTACCAGTTTGGGAAGTATAAGTTTAATGAATCAGCAAGAAAACTTACATACCTTTGTTACTGAGGGTGTGACAACATTGCAATATACTCCTCCAATTAATCAGTGTTTAGCATGATGCAAATTGATTCAAAATTTCCCAACTCCATGACATTATTTTAAGCATGGGGGAAACTCACACTTTGTTTTTGAGGAATTGGGTTTTTTAAACATCTGTCGGGAGGATGTATATTTTAAATAGCTGTACATTGTGCTGTGGTTTCTTAAACACCTTTTTGCTTATGTGAATGGCCGTATCATTGTGGTCTGTGTGCAGAAGTGTTGCCTGTGCCGACAAATTGGTGATGTGTTTGAGGTGATGCAGGATACTGTCCAATCAGGAAGTCATGCCTGCTTTCCAAACTTGTTTCCCTTTTTAATTAGTTTTTAAACAAACCATTCAACTTTAGTGCTAGAGTCTGTCCGCAACACTGGTGCAACACTATGCCATTTACAATAAAGAAGGGGGCAGAATTCTGGACAAGATGCTTATGGACAAGGACAGAATGAAGACAAATTCAGGACAGACCTATGGGTGAATCAAAGTGCTAATCCCAGGTCTATTTAAGGCCATTTAAAGAGAGGTGCCATCCTCCGCACTAAATCAACCCGGTTCAGTTGAGGCTGAATTAGTTCAAATACACCATTGGACAAGATGCTAATATCTTTTTGTTGTTGAAAACGGCATGTGGATCTAGTCATTTCGACCACTCTAGTGTTCATATTTTTTAAGTCGACAACTGCTTGTTAAACAATACATGTGTTATGAATCACAAAACAACAATATGCCTTTTCTGGCTGCTGTGTTCTGCCCTAGCTTTATATATCCACAAAAATACTTTAAGTGCATTTTTCCCAATCTTAAAATAATACCTCTGCTCTTTCTCCCGCTTTCTTCATACTGAGAGCAAGTTCCTACTTTGTGTCACCTTTGTTTGAAAAATAAATAATGAAACAGTATAGTTCAATATGTTGAGTATATCACTGTGCCTTTAAACTTTTTTTAAAAATTTAACACACATTGTTCTGGGTGAGTGCCAGCTAGCACTCCTTCCTGCATGGAAGACAGCCCTTCAGAGGGAGGCCCTGCAGAGGGAGGCCTTGTTCTTTGGGAGCAAGCGTCTCCAGGCATGGAAGAGGAATATCGACCCAAGCAGTTGCAGTTTGAAAAGCAGGTGTAGCTAAAAATAACATGCTGTGTGTTAGCCACCTGTTCCATTATAAAACAGCAGCTCCTAGAGCAACAAGCCCAACCATACAGGTAGGATAACAATGCAGCAGTTGCAAATGCATCATTCAAAAACATGCTGAGGCGGGGAGGGAATGAAATCAGCTTTATGCACAATAACTTCCAAAAGAAAAAAAGGATCTGGGCATTTAGCTCTCAGCTATAATGAGCTTCCCTAGTTAAGCAATAAAGGCTGGTTCTCATAGACACATACGTTGCCAGAGGCCTCCAGCTGACAGCATGAATGACCTTAGTTCGAAAACACTATGTTTCAGGTGATGTGAAAGTGATAGCTGTGACACCTGATCGGTGAAGTCTCATTTCCACAGAAAGCACAGCCCTTGAAGTGCCACCATCTGAGAATAAAGCCGTGCAAGCAGTCAAACTCGACATTGTGGGGAATTGTCATTTTAACCAAGAGAGGAAAGTGGGCACATTCTGGTGCCTGCCAAATAGTAATGAAAAACTTGACCAGTTTGTGCTGACTGAACATCCATTTCCTCAATGGGATACACCCATTGCATTTGGTGCCCACAGTGATTGGTGGGATCGCTGGCCACAGAGCAAATGGGTGGAGCCCCAAGGGGCATATTGACCCAAGGTCAAGACTAACTATACACACATGCATATACAGGCTAGCAAGCAAATATTTATGCTTACACAAACCAGGAGACAAACACAGGCAGGCCTCTCCACCTCTAGTCAGGAGGCAAGTAAGAATGCATCGGCTGGGAGTGGCTTGAGAATGAGGTGGAACAGCTCCCCACTTGTCCTAATGTAGTGGTTCCCAACCTCAGGTCCCCAGACATTCTTGCAACTCCCAGAAGCCCTTTCCATCACAGCTAGAGGTAAAGGCTTCTGGGAGTTTTAGTCCAAGAACATGCCCTAATAGATCAGTGTCCACTGCCTCTTGACCTATCATAGTTGCAGCTAGGGATGTGCTAGAATTTCATATCCCACCTACTTTTGAAGAATTTACTAAAATTCAAGCATTTCTTTAGATTCAGGAGGGAGATGTCTTGAAGTTTTAAACATCTGAATGTGAAGGACAAACGACCTGACAGATTCCATCCATCTACGTCAAGGGCTTGGAGTGTTTGGCTCTTTGAATGTCTGTGCATTCCCTCATGCTCAGTGACGATTGGCCCTATTTTTTCCCACTCTGATAGTCTTCTCACCTTTAATCCTGAAATGGGAGAGAAGGACAACCTGATGGTCTCCATGTTGGGAATAGCTGTTCCTATTGAATTGGGCTAATGCAAACGGGACATTTGAAATTCAAAGCATCTATCCAAATTTCCAGATACCTTAATATACCAGATGGGCGGGATATAAATCAAATAAATAAATAAATAAATAAATAAATAAATAAATAAATAAATAAATAAATAAATAAATAAATAAATAAATATCCCAGACAAAAGAAACTTGAGGTATAAAGCATTGTGGTGTGGAAGAAAGCAAGTTTGACAGTTTTTTTCCACCCCGAACTATTCCTTTGAGCATTTCATGTATTGATCTAGTATTAAAACAGCCTTTATCAAACATCTCAAATGGTTTGGGTTGTTGAATAATGCACTACCATCAACAAAAGTATGTGATAGGCAAGACAGTCCTACACTGTCTGAACAGCTTTCCCGTCTCACCATCTGTTTTCCAAATACAATCTTCTTTCTAAATACACTTTCTGCTGCTGGTGTGGTAAGAGAAACAGTGAGGACAGAACGCAGATGGTATGAAACAAGAAAACACATGCCCAGTTTGCGTTAAATACAATGTCTCTGTAGCTAAAAGCATGGATGCATGTTTATGTGTGTGTTTTGTTGTTGTTGTACATATAAAAATCAACAGCCCCCATGTGTTGGGATCTGAGGCCCTGATTGTGTGTGTGTGTGTGTGGGGGGGTTGAATGTAATCCTCAGGCTTTTGGAAGTTGCCCACTCCAGCATTAAGAAGCCTGTATATTCCATGGTAAATGGACAGC